CACAACAACATCATCAACAACAACATCATCAGCTGCTGCAACAAAACGATCTACTAGCGCCGTTTAGCCAAGATATAAGTAAGCCCTCAAACACGCTAATCAACTAACCCCTCATGACAAATTCATATAAATAATATTTAATTATTATTATTATTATTATTAATTATTATTATTAATATTATTATCATCATCATCATCATCATTATTATTATTATTATTATTATTATTATTATTATTGCTGTTGTTATTGTTATTATTGTTATTATTATATTAAGTAACGAAAAATGGCGGGAAGATAGTAAAACGCGATCTGGTAATTAATTTCGCGACGGGACCATCATCATCATCATCGTCGTCGTCGTCATCAATAATAATAATAATAATAATTATAATTATAATTTTTAATAATAATAACAGGAAGAAGATGAAAGAGTAGAAGAAGAAGAAAAAGAAGAAGAAGGAGAACAAGAAGAAAGAGAACAAGGAGAACAAGAAGGAGAACAAGAAGAAGAAGAAGAAGAAGAAAAAGAAGAAGAAGAAGAACAGGAACAAGAAGAACAAGAAGAACAAGAAGAACAAGGAGAAGAAGGAGAAGAAGAAGGAGGAGGAGAAAAAGAAGAAGAAGAAGAAAAAGAAGGAGAACAAGAAGAAGAAGAAGAAGAAGAAAGAGATGAAGAAGAAGAAGAAAAAGAAAGAATAAGAAAAATAAAAATAACAATAATCCTCATCGTCATCGCCATCGTCATCACCATAATTATATAATAATAAAAATGAAAATTATGACGATAAAATTGATTATGATGAATGGTTTAATATTTAGCTAGATAGTCCAGTGCAGTTATCAATTATTCACGCGATGATGATGATGATGTGCCGTGAATTGATGGTGATGATGATGATGACGACGATGGTGATGATGAATATAATGATGAAAGAGAGAGAGAGAGAGAGAGAGAGAGAGAGAAAGAGTGAAAGAGGGGGAGAGAGAGTGAGAGAATAGAAAACAAATAAAAAAGGAAGGTTAGAATAGAGAGAGGAAAAATTAAATAAAGATAGAAAGAGAGAAAACAAAACCCAAGGGAGAGAAAAAAAGAGATAAAGAAACAAAGAAAGAGAGAGAGAGAGAGAAAGAGAAATAGAGAAAGATAAGGATGAAAAAACAAAGTGTGAGAGAAATATTGTACCATGCTAGGCGACCTAGTGTTGAACGATTTTATTTTATGATTTTGTCATGGGATTTGAAACATACGTTTACTCTCCACCTCTGTCTTTCTCTCTTCCTTTCTCTTCCTCTCTTCCTCTCTTTTTGTTTTTTTTTCTCTCTCTCTCTCCCTCTCTCTTTTTGTGTGTGTTTTTAATTTTTTATATCTCACTTTCAAAATTTTTCAGGCGCCATTTATTTGTTCAATTTTCGTTTTCTTCTTCCCACATATCCCCTATTTTCTCCTTCACCTCTCTTTTTTAGACTATCACTATCTTTCTTTTTCTCTCTCTCACTCACTCTCTCTCTCTCTCTCTCTCTCTCTCTCTCTATCTCTATCTCTCTCTCTTTTATCCTCTCAAGCGCAAATGAATATCAACGCATGGGTATAATAAATTCATCATCAGTCTATCTGTTAGGTGTCTAATTTAACGTACATTTCATGTCTGTGTGTGTGTGTGAATGTATGTGTGTACGTGTGTATTTATGTGTGTTTGAGTGTGCGTGTGTGTGTATGTATGTGCGTGTGTTTGTGCGTGTGTGTGTGTGTGTGAGTGTATGTGTGTGCGTGTGTGCGTGCGAGTGAGTATGTGGGTACGTTTGTATAGTTGATTTATGGAGTTGTCGAAGATGATGATGATAAATATGTGGACGAAAATTTTGACGGAGATGCTGATGAGAAAATTATAAATAATAAATAAAATAACAATAATAATGTTAACTCTTTTATTTTCCAAAGACAGAGCATAAGTAAAATCAAAATATTGACAATGAAATAGAATTGAATTTAGTTAAATATACAGTTAGATGAATAAAATAAAATAAAATAAAGATAAAGTGTTAGAGTAATACGGATAGTCATCATTGCAATAAGTAAGTACCATGATGATAAATAGTATAAAAATCTTCACTCATTGTTTCTATCACAGTGCAGAGCATATGATGACGAAATTACACTGTTAATCAAGCTAAATCTAAAATAATCGGTCCAAGTTATATCAATTAAAGACATATTAAAAGGATTGTAAAAGCCAAATGGCGATATTTCAAAGGTATTAATTAAAATATTGCAATGCTTAAAGTCATCAATAATATTATCTTTCAAATTACCAATATATTTATTCATTTTAAATTGTTTTGATTTTATGAAGTTAGTTTCATGGCAGACAGTCAGTTCAAGTATCTCGATCGTGTCTTTGTTGCGGACAGCAATGTCAGGACGGAGTGATCTAAACAAGTCTGTTATTGGTCGTATCTTTTCCCCTTTCAAATCTGCAAAAATCTCGACACCCGGCCTCGTGTCTACCATGAAATTATCGATAATTATTTTTAAAATTTTGTTGTGGCGATCTAAGTATCTGCTCAATGCAGATGATGAGTCACAGTTTGACATGACGTGTTTGTTCGTTTGTGTTGCATTGCAGAGCAAACATGATGCATTAGCAAACATAATAATTATAATAATTATAATAATAATAACAATATGACACTCTTTCTCCTATCCAAATATTTTAAATCGATTAATTAAGAAAAAAAAAATGAAAATAAAAAGAAGTTATCCGGTTCAACTTAGCAGCGTGTCGATTGATGTACATCAGCAAAAGTTCGTGTGTGTTTGTTTGTTTGCTTGTGTGTGTGTTTGTGTGTGTGTGTATGTGTGCATGAATGAATATGTATGTATATATATATATATATATATATATATATATATATATATATATATATATATATATATATATATATATATATATATACATATTCATACACATACACTCATATATATATATATATATATATGAGTGTATGTGTGTATATATAAGTGTATGTGTGCGTATTTATGTGTGTGTGTAAGTGTATAAAAATAAGTGTGTGTGTTTGTGTGTGTGGATACATAGATGTGGGTGCGTATGCTTGTGTATGTGTGTTTGTGTATGTTTTTATGTGTGTATTCATGTATGTATGAACGTATGAATATGTATACATGTAATTTTAGTTTTTTCCTCCTTTTTTGTTAGTACATAGATTGTTGTACATTGAGAGAATGTTGTTAACCTTTACAAATACACATGAAGATACAAACACACACACACAAACACACACACAGACAAGTACAAACCAACTTCTTCTCTTTTTCTTTCTTTTTTCATTCATTCTTTCTTCCTTACATTCTTCCTTCTCTTTCTTTCTCGTTAAACGTAATTTAAGTGGCTCTCCGATGTGTTTATAT